TAGCATAATGTAACAGAACATGCATTCCAAACTACATACAGCTGCTTCAGTGGATGGAGCCATGCAAATCATTGCTTTACACCCCATTGTGCATCTGACCAATGGGGCATAAAGCAATAATTTAAATGGCTCCACCACTGCCTTGAAATGATGAATAATCTTATTTTTAGGATATATGATGGAATGAGACGCTTTTGTTTTTAGAAGGTCTTACTGTGCTGTGCAATGATTGATTAGAATGAGGGCATTTTAGTTATTATAGTCTCGCAATCTGTATAGTTAATATTGTCTTATTTAGATTTATCAATTTTGAGTAGGGCTATCTAGGGGGTCAGAGGTCCTGTGAAGTCTGAATTTTCCCACCTTGTCAACTGCTTGAACGCACGTGGTGTATTCTCAGAAGCTGAAAAAACAATGTGTGTGATCAGGCAATTGAGAGGCAGCAACTCAGATGACTTCTAATTTCAATTGAATTTCAAGCTGAAGAGTTAAGCTCAACACACACCTTACAATTTCCTTTAGATCTGCAAGAATTATGTAGTGCAAGGGCCTGCCTGGTTGTAAACAGATTGATTGCACAGAGTAAATAGGTGTTCATATTACATAGTTTTGGTAGATCTAAAGTTGATTGTACAAAGGTTGTATAGTCAGATTGTAACGTGTGTGGTGACCATAAGAGAGTAACAAAACCTAAACATAGGGGTAATTATGAATCCTTTATGTGTTAACCTGAATTGAAAAATTATAATAACCTGAAAATGAACATTTAGATTCTTTCATGAACCTAATCATGACTGGTTAACAATAAAGATAATAATAATGATAACATAATAATAATGATAAAATAATAGTCATTATTATTATTAGTTAGTCGATGTTGACTCCTGGCAACCACATGAACTGTCATTTTCCAGAGTGATCCAACTTCTGTTTAGATCTTGAGTCTTAGGGTTATGTTTAAAGTTACCCTTAAATATTTTTAAATGCAAGGAAGAGTTTGGATTTTCAGAAACAGCAATAATGTCTTAAAATTGGACCTGGATAAGTAATCTGCCACCTATTCTGCCTGGTTTGCTTGACTGGTGCACTTTTTTCTATAACATCATCCTTGCTGGGGGCAGGATCTGTGTGAAGCAGAGGCACAGACTGTCTGCTTTTCCAGACCACCCAATTGATGTATCTGCCTTACCAACCCACTATCAACTGCAACTAAAAGCCAGAAATAGTAGAAACAAGGGCGCCGGTGGCAGCCTTTTTTTTTTTTAATATGACAAGTAATTACAATATATTACTGCTCTCATTAGGTTTTTTTTTAGGTGGCACCTTGGACAAGTAGACTTAAAATCACTCTTAGACTTTTTATTCACTTTAAAAACACTAAAGCTATTTCAGAACCCAAACTCTCTGTGCCGAAGGTAAGGCTATTTATTTAAGATGTCATTTCCTAAAGTGAGCCTCTCTGTTTCCCCTATAAATTATTTTTATTAAACAAAAAATTATTGCGCTTTAGAGAAATAGGAAAATATATACAATGGCAGTATACAAAACAGTACATGATTCCAATTATAAATATAATTAAATAATGTAGCTAAAGTAGATATAAAACACAGTCATATACCATGTTATTGTAATTTCAAAAGTAGTTTTTTACCCTTTTAAATCTGCAGCTTTCTTAGAAATAATACCTGGTGATCCCGCCATGAACATGAAGATAATTGTTCATGCACTTGCTGCTACTGGTTGACAGTGTTCAGTAACTTTTTCCTAATTGTACTCCTGTGTTGTCACCCTGTCACACGCATCCCTCATGGATACTACAAGTGGCTGTGTGAACATTGTGTGGGTATGGTCCACCGTTGTCACTATCAGGAAGTTGGTCCAGAGCAATGAGACAGAAAGTGCTGATATCGAAAAAAAGGATGAAAAATGTGAAACCAGTACTTCATGAAAACAAAATGGCAGTTGGTTACTATACAACCTGGGAAAATCAAAATGTAGGAAATGTTTTCATCATAATGGTATTGCAGTATCCCGTTGGCACAGGTTAGGATCAAGGGGAAGAAATATACCCTATATACCATATCAAAATTTTAAGTAAATGTAAACCCAACCACTAGAATTTTATATAAGTCTTCTCATGCCACTCTCCCCCACCAAAAACAACAACAATCCTTTAGGATAAAGTCTGGGAGCTTTTCTTCTGTGGTGGTAAAGAATCCTCCAACCAAATTACTTTGAGGCTAGTTGACAAGGGATTCTCTATTGAATTTTCAAGGACCCCTCATTGTCATTCATTTATCTAGGGGTCACGGTTAGATCATCAACTTGTGATCGCTTCTTTAGGCACATCTGGATAGAAGGCTGTTGGTTCCAGTCTGGTCCTAGAGTTTTGGAAAGTTTTTCAACATTTTCATGCTAAAAAATCATTTGAATTTTTTTTTACAGATCCTAAATATCAGACCTGTCAACCAGTCGATCTGCCTCAAGAGTTCATGTTTTGAGTAAAAGCCATTCTAGTTTACAATTCCATTCCAATGGCTTCTATCATCCTCTGGGACACAACCATATTCCTTATAATGTAGGCATGTTTTTTAATGCTTTTCCCATTCATATTGCTACCTTCTGGACTTTTCATGGCCTCCAAAGATCTTCCTTAAGGGTATGGAAGCAGCTCATACCTCCTTATTACTTAGAGCCATGACAGTCATCCTTTATTTGGACAATTTTTTTTCTCTAAGGGTTCAGCCATACATCCCGAAATGATCGAGAGTGTAGAAAAGTTGAACCTGGTTCCCTGCCAGGTTATTCCGTTCTTATGATGCAATATCGGTTCTCAGATTCTGAATAAAGTTTTACTGGTAAAGAAAAATTATACAGAGCTCTTCAGGTTACCTAGTATAACAGACTAGTTCTATCTGGGATATTATGATGGTTTTGTTTTTAATAACTTTTTCTATCCTTGTCTAGATGAAGTCTAAACTCCTCAGATGTTGTAGTTGCGGTTCTCCCTCTAGTGAAGAAGATCCAAGTTCCAAACCATTTATTTCCTGGCCACCTTTGTACAACAGATGTCACAATGTGGAATTAATTGGCCCACTAGGAGACATCAATTCCTCCAAATTTTCGGAGCTCTTTTGGGAAACCCTTATGTATGTTAGCCAAACATTTTGGGTCAGAGTGTCCAAATCATCTGAGAGAATGCACAGGCAAGGAGGTACAGGAAATCAAACCTTTCTCCTTATGGCCTCCCACCTGGTATTTCATCTAAAGGGCCTCCTCAGACTTCATCACTCTTTAATATAGTTGGATGATCTCTAAACAAGAATGTCAGAAAACAATACGAATAGTTCAGATGTTCCATGAATTCTTGGTACAGATAAAAGATTAGCAGTCAGAACCCATGTTCCAGTCCAGTGTTATTAGAAACCAGTCTGCTAAATGTATGTAGTCCCTCTCCATGCCAGTTTTCTTGAAGTGCTGTCCTCAGTGAAATGTTTCTTCCTGCTTTTCATTATTTGATCAAGCCAGTCTATTTAAACATATTTCTTTTTTCCCCTCACTTTCATGGACTGTCCTAGAAGATTCCTGCACACAAAATTACTGATAAGACTACTTCCTGAGATACGTCATTTTGGACTAATTTTAGAGCGTCTCATGGGCATTTAGCACAGTTTGTTATTTTTACTAGCAATTTGCAAATGTAGGGAAAAGGGATGAAATTCTCCAGTTTGGCCAACTGTTCATTTTATTAGTTCATTCAAAATAATTTTCCTTTAGAGATCATCTGCTGATAATTTGCCTTGCATGAATCTGGAAAATTGCTATGAAGGGAAAAAAATTCCCAGAGACAGAGAAAAGAGTGTATCAGTGATTAGGCACCTAGAACTGACATTTAAATTACATTAATCACTTTACAAAGTAAAGCTTTTTTAGTTGAAAGTCATTTGGTCTATAGGTAAGACATCTTTTTCCCAATGTTCATACAAACTACATACACTTGACTGTAAAATTACCTAGAGCAGGCCTGTGCCCTAAGTCTGCACACATGAACCTGTGTGCCTTTTTAATCTGTACCTTTTTTGCGAGATGTGACATATTTAATCCTTCTTCTCCGGTGTCCTGGCTTTCATCTTCAATAACCTCAGAAGTGTTGCTCTACAATAAACAAATACAATAACAACCTTGTAATTACATTCATAAACTTCCTCATCTGTTCCCAGTGCCAGTTTCTAGTTTTAGTAATTTGTTACAAACTATGAAGCACCCATTTTATATTAAAGAGAGGACAAGGACACTTAGCACTAGTGTTTTTCAGGAGTACACTAACCCCTCAAGGTATACACTCGGGTATCTCAAAGGCTTCCATTGTGGCCAATCATTGATCCTCTGCTTCATCAACCCCTTTACAATCCCAGCTCCTAGAGTGCAGACTATCTTCCAGGCAGTGAAGGCTTTGCCACTGGAAGAACAGTTTGAAAAACAGTGGGAGATCCTAGGTATGTTTTGTCTTTAATAACAGATAAAATAATTTTAATACATATAATTCAGATAAATAATTTTAATACATATAATTTTTATACAATCAGAAAATGCATTAATGCAATTTTGACTAATGGTGCCTGAAGCAGCAACTGATGGAGAAGTGAATGTTTAGTCTTCTTTGGTGATGTAGGTTTTAGCTTTGCAGAGCTATATAAATTGCAGAACCTTCTTTTTTCAGCAAAGCTGTGGTAAAATGCAAAGAGGTTCCCAGTCTTAGTTACCTAGGTTAGAACACTGAGTTGCAGTCTTGAAATACGCACCACATCTCCTAAAGTGCAATCCCTCTACAGCATTACACAAGTGCCTAATGCTGTGCAAAATTAATTTGTGTGTGCATAGCATCTCACAATATGCAGACCATCTCAGTTACACAGCTCTTTGGCCTCATTGGCTCTGATACACTGAAATAGTAGAATTTCATAGCATGCTCCTGGCTACGTATTATTAGATTTCTCCAGCCAAACACATTAAAAGCTACCAGACCAGGTCAAAGTGCCATTTTTTTTAACCTTCTTTCAAGTGACGTATTAAATTACAGCTAATGATACTATTATCTTATGTAGCTTGCAATAAGTCATAGCAACCTGATAACAGTTTCCTTTACTCCGATAGCATTGATGCTATAATTTAATGCATTTTGCAGTTTGTTCTTTGTCTCCTTAACATGTACAGTATAATTTCTATGACTTATTTACTATTGCTTACCAACTACAGTGTCAAATTTGGGTACTAGCATACTTTATGGTGTAAAAATGTTACCCATTTAATGACTGCTCATTTATTTAACTTTTACTAAAAACTATATGGTATAATAAAGCAAAGTGCAATAAGCAAACCGATTGCCTTTTATTGCTTTGACTGACTTTTGTTAAGAATTATTGCACATTAGTGTTCTTTGCATGAGATAAATAAATACAAATTAATGCAAATTGAGTGCACACTAAGCTTACCTCTTCAAGTGTTTCTCCATCTTGTTCTGTGCCCAATGTTTGTAGAACTTTTGCTTTATAAACTTTCCAGAAAGTTTGACTCATGGTGACTGAAGCAGCAACTGATGGAGAAGTGAATGTTTGGTCTTCGTTGGTGATGTAGGGTTCAGCTTTGCAGAGCTATATAAATTGCACAACTTTCCTTTTTCAGCAAAGCTGTGGTAAAATGCAGAGGTTCCCAGTCTTAGTTACCTAGGTTAGAGCACTGAGTTGCAGTCTTGAAATACGCACCAAATCTCCTAAAGTGCAATCCCTCTACAACATTACACAAGTACCTAATGCTGTGCAAAATTAATTTGTGTGTGCATAGCAGCTCACAATATGCAGACCATCTCAGGTACACGGCTCTTTGGCCTAATTGGCTCTGACACACATGGGTCTTGTGACCTCATTAAAGTTGCAGGAAGATCTTCATACAGGAGAAATTTAATAGGCAACATGTAAAAGGCTAGGGACTAAACTTATGTATAACAAGGAAGGAAAATACAGACAGATGCTTTGTGTGTGTTAACAGATCTCCTGCATTGGCAGTGAGTGTGAAAATTGTTCATCTGCCAGCAATATGTACCTACTACTGCCTTTTTGCACCTCATTGACTTATCCTTGCATCTGTTTTATGTTTGTCATCAGTGAGTCCCTATATAACTTAGCAAACACCTGTTACTTGGCTTTGCCCCGGTCTATGTCTGTCATCAACATGTGGTTCAGTCATTTATAATAGTTCTGTATTAAAGGGACACATCATCTCATCCATAGAGGCTTGTATGTTGATAATGTCTGTTGTTTTTTTGTTTTGTTTTTAGATGGATAACTTCTACTAATGGTGTTTACAAATAAATTTAAACCAGACGGTAAGGTTTCTGAAATACCCTATCAATAGTAGCCTAATTTAATTTAACCACTACGTGCAAGCAGGAAAGTTGAAGCATTTTAAACAGTAAGCATTTGGGCCGCTATAGAGATGCCTGATCGCTTTTAGGGCGCTTGTTATCCCCCTATATGATAGCAATAAAGTTAAGTGTTAAAAAAATAAAGTCACATATAAAAAACATTTTTTTAAAGTCCCCACCCCATGTTCACATACATACAAAAGAATAGGGTACGCCTACGTGTGAAAGTGATGATTGTGCCACACGTTACATATCACTGTGAACATCAGAGTGTAAGCAATAATTCTTGAGCCATCAATCACTGTTAACACCAAACTTTTGAGCGGTAAAAGCTTTTAAAGAGTCACCTATGGCCAATTTTGGGTATGGTAGTTTTTTGCCATTTCCCGGGCACGCTCAATTTTAAGGCTAAATATTTGGTATCTATTTACCCAAGGTGACCAAAGAAATGAAGCAGAATACATTTTGGCCAAAATGTATGTAGAAAGATTATTTATTTGCAATGTTCCATAACATAACGTAGGGAAACCATCTTTTTTTTCAACATTTTTGTAATTTTTTTTCTTTATATAGTAAAAAATTAAAAAACACCCAGTGGTAATTAAATACTACCAAAAGAAAGCTCTATCTTTATACCCAAAGTAAATGTAAAATAAAACTATTATGGTAATTGAGCAGAAATAGAGGAGCAAAACATAAATCCACATATTTGATTTATATTTTCTGAATTCCAATAGTTATGAGTAATGTAAAGGACTTCAAACGTGCTTTTTGATACAACTGCAATGAACTCCCTGTTCTTATAATTGGGCTGTGTTTTTCTGGTTATCTCTGTAGTATCTCTTCATGGAACACCCACTCTCTGTCACTTGTCTGAGTTCTAGTTTCATGTGTAACTGATATATGTGAACAGGAGCTCACGCTAAGAGCCGAAATAGAACCAGCAAATAAATAATTCCACATGTCTCCCTACAAGCTAAAACATTTTATGGTGGCACAGCAAATAGATAACTTTAACAGCCCTAAGCCTTTAGTTTAAGATAAAAATCTTAATTTTAAACCTTCCATGAAGAAGTCACTTTGCAAGTTGTAATTAATATGTGCTCCATCACCACAATATATACTCCCATTTATCACAACACATAAATACAAAATTACTGTCGTCACAAATGGAATACTGCTGCTTTAAAGACACTAGGGAAATTTGCTAAAACTGGAGCAGACAGAAACCTGGAGCAGCTGTGCATAAAAACCAATCAAATTCCATCTTCATCTTCAAAAAATCCTTAAAGGAGAACTATGGGGTCAGGGCTTTTCCCCATAGTTCTCCTTAGGGTAACGGGAGGACACAAACTAGCGTCCTCCCGTTACCCTAAGCTCAGTATACCACGAGCTAAAGCTCGCGGTATACTGAGACACTGTAGCCGGAGCGGATCCCGACATCGATGTCGAGATCCGCCCAGCTGCGTGAGTGACAGCTGGCTCTGCCTATCAAGAGGCAGAGCCAGCTGTACCCGCCCCCTCCCCTGTCCGATCCGCCAGTCAGCGCTGGCGGATCTGAGCGGGGAGAGTGGAATCCAGCCCCTCCCCTGTCACGGCACAGAGCCGTGACAGGATAGAGAGGCGAGCGAACGCCGGTATATGTTCGCTCACCTCCCGATCTACTGAGCCGACCTGTGACAGTCTCATTGTCACAGGTCGGCTAGAACTATGAGGTGAGTGAAAAGCACTCACCTCATAGTTCTCCTTTAAGTTTTAATAGTGAAAGCTAGAAGCTGATTGGTTGCCATGCACCAACTGCTTCAGATTCTGCCTGCTCCAGTTTTAGTAAATTCCCCTCACTGTGCATAGTCAAAATCTTAATTGCATAATTCCACTTAAAACTACATTTCAGTTATGGGTGAATAATAGTAGGCTTATATGCCCACTTGCTTGCTTTACTCCTCTGGAACTTTAGGGGCAGACACTACCTCCAAGATTATGGCTCCACCACCCACAGTCATTACAAGCCAAGCAAATGAGCCTTGGGGCTTATTCACACTTTCTTATTTCTTAAACTCACAAGACATTTTGCATAAAAAGCATGCTAAGTTCTGATTCATTATATGCGATGGCACAATGTAAAAAACGAATCTAAATACTCTTACCTAAATCTGTGGACACGCAACGCATTGGGTCTTCTGTCTTCTGAGCGGCAGAGTGAGAGGGTCCTTCTCCAGGTGTACTCGCCATTGCTTGGTGGGACATGGTCACATTGGGTGGGATGTCAATTGACAGGGTCCTTGAAACTCTAGCGGCAGTGTGGAGATGTCACAACGAGGGGCAGCATCTAGACCAGTCAGCTGTGGGCAGAAGTGGTGCATTAATCTTGGAAGGGGCCCCACAGGTGGCATGATGGAGGACTCTGGTGGGTAGGAAACCTTGTTAGAGGTTCCTTTTAAAAATAAACAAATACTGTGA